AAAAAAAAAAAAAAAAAAAAAAAGAGAAATCTTCACTGGGTCAAGGCACTGAAATTTGGGGCTTGTCACTGCAGCATAACTCAGCTGACTAATGGAGCAGATGAAAAGATCTGAGCCAACAAAGGAGAACAAATTCCTGGATGTGCAGCATTGCAGTGGGCAGATTGCTCCTTTACTCTGGACTGGGTGATGGGATGTTGGAAACTTGAAACATGGCCAGGCCGGAAGGCTGAGCCAGGGAAAGGCTGGACTCAAGCTTCATTTGAAACCAGTTCTATTTTCTGGTGATGAGAGCCAATAAATCCCTTTTGCTTTTTCATTCAGGTTGAGCTGGGTTTTCCTTCCCTTGCAACTGAAAGGTCACTCACTCAGAGAGGTAAGCTACAGAAATCCGCCCTTCCCTGATTTTTCAGGTTGGTGGGAAGGAGATTTCTCCATTAGTTAGAACATTAACTCAATTAGCTAATGGTCAAACATTTTCAGATTACAAATGAAAGACTCAACAACTGCTACAGTCAAGCAGGATAGATTTTATAGCTGGTAAGATCAGGAACACATTCTTGGAAAAGCAATAAACTTTAATGGGCTGAAAAACCCTTCTTTTCTTTTTTTCCCATGAAAACTCTGGGAAATGTTGAAATCATCCTTGTTTTTTAAATGACAAGTGGGGCTTACACTGACTGGCAGATTGATTTTGGGATCTTGTAGGTAGAGAAATGAAAAAAAACCAAAAACAAACCAACAACCATACTTTAGTCAGAAATCAGTAATTTGGTTAATCAGTAAAGTAATCTGGTTAATCACAGACAACTGTTCAGTAGTGAAGGCGCAGAGTTCTACAATACAGTGGACCTTTGACTTATGAACTCAATTCATTATAGAGGGCTGGGAGTAACTCAAGCTGGTCAGTGAAGGCTCAGGCTCCTCTCCACAGTCTTCAAAGTCTCTCTCCTGCACACAGGCAGATCTCAGTGTCCTCAGAGAGACACTGGCCCCACACAGGAGAAGGTGTTGTAATTTTCCTTCCAGAACTCTTTAAGGGTTAAATCTGTGCCTGAGACCATCTGGAAGCACAAATGATTGGCATCTGCGCCGTAACTAAAGACTTTGTTGGTAGGTTAAAACTAAAATCCCAGCCACAACCCAGTTGTTCGTATGCCAGGCTGGTCATACTGAAGGGTCTACTATATATGGTGTTTTGACCAAGGCCTTCTCTGACTGCATTTAGGGGAGGAGATTAACAGACCCTGTTTTACATATTCTTCCCTCTACATGGACACAGGGTAGGCTGGGAAACCGAATTTTACTACAAAATATGATTTTGATGACCAGGAAGCACTGCTGCAGGATGTTGTCTCCTACTTGCTAGCATTCTGCTGTAAGGGGCAGCCAACTTTTCCTGCAAAAGGTCCTTCCAGTCACATGGTCTCAGTGACAATTACTGAACTCTGCTGCCCTAATGACAAAGCAGCTCCAGCCCATAGGTAATGGAATGGGTGTGGCTGTGTCCTAATAAAACTTTGTTTGTAAACACGGAAATTTGAACTTTATAGAATTGTCACACCACAAAATGCGATTCTTTCCATTTTCCCCAACCATCCAAAAACATAAAAACCATGCTTAACTCCATAAGCCATGCAAACGTAGGGAGTGGGCTGCATTCGGTCTGTGAGCTACAGTTTGTTGACTTCTCACTTCCTGAGCTCTTTCTCTGATTCAGGCACTGAAGCACCATAAATAAATTACATGCATTACCTCATTCAATTCTCCCAAGCATCATCAAGCGGAGGTACCATTATTATTTTTGTTTGGTACTGGGGATCGAACTCAGGTCCTTGTGCTTGCGAGGCAGGTGGCAGAACACTGAGCTAAATCCCCGACCCAGAGGTACCATTATTGAAAAAAAATTTTTTTGGTACCAGGAGTTGAACTCAGGACCTTGGGCTTACGAGGTGGGTGGTGGAACCACTGAGCTAAATCCTCGGCCCCTGGAAGTACCGTTATTATCCCCACTAAATAGGTGAGTAAACTGAGGCAAAAGAGGTGACACAACCTGGAGATGAGGAGGCCAGCATCATAACTATTTGGCCTCATTCCGTCCTTGTGTGGGGCATTAAAAGGTGAAATACCTTTTAAAAATAGATATGCAACTTGTGGGGCCAAGCAATTTAAAAGAATGCTTCTAATGCTTCTTTATTTCCTTAAAACATATTTTGTCTTCTTTCTACCCCTACCATCTTTGGTGTTATCTTTTGCTATTAATAATTTACCTCTTAATTAATGTTTATATTTCTGTCTCGAGCTTCACACAAGAAAATGAAACACATTCTGTTTGCCTATTTCAGATTAACTTGCATTTTAGCATCTGAGCTGCTGCAAACACAGGATCCCTTACACAAGCAGCTGCACCAGACACCCAAGAGAAGCTTCTTTTCAGAAAACTGAGAACTGAAAAGCCAACTGATGCACAGGATTTCACTCTCAGCTGTGAAGCTGATGGCAGGAAGACTCACGAGACGGCCCATACAGGCCCCTGAAGGTCTTCCGACTTTCACGCTCGAGAGCAATGATGGCAAACCTTTTAGAAACTGACCACCCAAACTGAAACCTCAAACCTGTTTATTGCAAAGTTCCAACATTGCAATTAAATCAGAATACTGAGGTTTTAGTACAGAAAAAACAACTCATTCACTAACATCTTTGTCTTAAAAGAAAACCAACACGTACGCCCTAGGCTGGCCACCGCTGTTCTAGAGGCATATTTAAGAGGGTCCTGCACTTTTCTGGGCTACTAAGTTGGGTTCAAGAAAGAAAGGAAGGAAAGAGAGGAGGGAAGGAATGATAAACAATCAAAGAAACAAACAGATTTTAAAGATTTTTCTCCCAAGGAGAGTCATAACAAAACCATTCTTATTTTCATCCCATATTGTGGATAACTGTGTTTGGATTTTCAACATCTGTTCAGTTCCAGCAACTAAATAAAAATGAAAGCACATACCCTCTCCATGGCAAGTAGACAAGAGACACCAGAAAGATCCAAACATATTTTGCATTGGCAAAATGACCTTGGTCTTGAGAAGCTGTGACTTCACTTACCCCTATTTACAAAATTTTCCGAAGACTGCTCTCCTTTCTGGGCTGAGAACTACTGTCTTGGGCCTGAAACTTGTAAGACCCACGTTAATAATCTCCCCAGAAAATGTTTCTGAGAGGACCCATCACTGCAGCATCATGGATGCATGATCTTGGAAATTTTGACCATGTTTCTAGGAGATAAAGATGCTAAGTGTCTGCTCTTTAATCAAAGCCACTGAGGTGAAGCTGCGCTTGTCTTGGTCAGGTGTAGACCCAGGAAGCCAACACTCCAAGGAGCCAATACCTGCAGCCTCTCTTGCTGCAGGCTGTTCTGAGGCAGCTACCCCACCTGAGCACCACCCAGAGTTAGTAGGGCTTGGGTCGCCATGGAAATAAAGGGGAAGGAGCAATCATGGCCCAGTGCAACAGCATCGACTTCACTTAAGGAAGCGCAAAGCCATTCTGCTGTGTGGTAGACTCTTTCAGCCCCTAGATGCTAAGAAACGATTAAAATGTGTGCTCTGATTTTGCATTTAATTTGCATCAAGTCAATAGGAGTTACAAAGTTTCATCCAGTGTCATTCTCAGTTGCTCTCTATTCATAGGAAGGGGGGAAAGAGTCTACAGCAGATTAATGACAGCGGAACATGCAAGAACACAAGTTCTGAGAGCTGAAAATGCCCAATGATCCAACATGCCAAAGGTGAGAATGGAATGATTCCGTCACTGATGCGTCACTTACGTTCTCCTCTGCACCTGTGGGGACTGACTCCTCTTTAACTGACTAAAACAAGACAAAAACAAAACTGAGAGTCAAGATGTTACCGAAAAACAAGTAAATAACCAATCGACAGGACAGCAAAGGGCTGGGCGGCAGCTCAGTGGCGCGGTTCTGGAACACTGATTTGCTCATGTAGCCATTGTTCCAGGGAGAACTCCAAGGAGGCGTACACCACTGTGAACAGCATAGCCTGATAACGTCAGCCTGGTATTTTCAAGGCAACAAAGGGAAAATAAACACAGATGCAGCCAGGATGCAAATGGAGCGTGGAGAGGGGTTGCTACAAGAAACACAAACTGAAGTTTGGGCTGTGGTTAAGCAACACCTCTGCTTCTACGTTTTCCAGTAGCCGATGAAAAGGGAGGAAATGTCATTAACTGCCAATTACAGTCACTGTCAGGTGGAATGAATGAGCAGCTCAGGAAAGTTCTGGTCGAAGACCCAGCGAAATTCCTCCAGGGTCCTCATCGAACACAGAGGCACTGTGCCCCCTAAGGAGGGTTCTCAGTGTCACCCCACCACTCCAGAGTATGCTGCTTCTACCAGCCTGAGTCTGGGCCATTTTCATGGTTCCCAAGTTCGAATTGGCTAAAACTGTGGGAAGGGCCAGAGTGCTCGGGTCCAGCACACCCAATTTCAACCACTGTTTTCCTCCCTGGAATCACTCTGGAGCTTACGAATAAGAGACAAGTGACCCGTTCCACAAATGGCAGGGCCCTAATCATTTAGTCTGTTGGCTCCTGCTTTGGAGGTCATCTTTGCATCTTTCCTTCAGTGGTTCTTAAGCTCTTTTGGGGAGGGTGTTTATAGTTGTGGACATATTGAGACCCACTTAATAGATCTGAGCTCTTCTCCCTTTAACAAAACACTTTGCAAATGATTTCAGCGTGCTCATAGATGTTCCGCACCTCTTCTCTTGGCTTCCGGTTGAAGACTCTACATGCATTTTTGTCACCAGGCCCTGCCTTATGTTTTTCTTTAAGACATCCAGCGGGAGGGGGAAAAAGAAAAGTGATATTTATAAATACAGATTTTGCACTAGGCACTTCGCATTCATTATCTCTCTTAAAGTACCCCCCACATAGCAAGGACTGTGACCTTCCTGTACACTGTAGGTGACAAAGACACACAGGGTTCAAGTCACAGATGCAGGTTAGGCAGCTAGAAGGTGGAAGAAATGGTTGTAAGAGCTGAGACTCTAGGACTTCAGAGACCATCACATGTATTTTGGTGGCTGGGTGAGCTGCTTCTCCACTACCAGATACACTAACTCTCTCCATAAAAGCTTCAGCTTGGACTGTTTATTTCTGTTCCCGTGCCGAGATTTTCCTGGGTACAAAAATGTCCCTGGAAAGGACTGTAGCATTTCCAGGAGCTTCTGATCACCCCCAAATCATACTGCACCCAGGAATTTCCAAGTCGTCCTGCTTTGTTGGAACTATGTCTCTTCTCTCTGAGATAATCAGATGCTATTAACACTATACATGGAAAATAATTAAACAAGATTTTATTTTTATTTTTCAGTGCTGGTTACTGAACCCAGTACATTCTCATTTAGTCTCTTTAAAAAACATTTTTTTTTTTTTAGACAGAGTTGCCAAGTTGCCCAGGTTGGGCTTGAAACTTTGATTCTCCTGTCTCAGCTTCAGTACACTGGGATTATCGGCAGGAACTGCCTGGCTTCAAATGGTATTTAAAAACCAGATCTCAAGGGTGACTTACAAAAGTTTCAGGAGTCCATATACTGTCTCCACTAGACTGAGAAAACCCTCCTACTGGTTAAAAAGAGATAACCTGCATTTTCAAATGCTCCTTCCTGTCCCAGGTGGTAGAAGTGAGGCGAGTTTATGCCTTGGACTTCCTTTCTAGAAAGTTCTTGGCTTGTGACTGCTCACTGTATTCTAGAGATGCTAAAACCCTGGCGTGGGAGACACAATGGAATAGAAGGAGCTGATTCTGGACACGTTTTGTCCTTGATCTTTATTATGCTTTCAGACTCCCAGATTCTTCTGCTGTTTTGAAAAATGACACTGTAAAATTGCCTGTTCCAAAGGAGTTGCTATGCTATATTTTAAAATTCATAATACCCAGAAGAAAATGCCTTTTTTTTTTTTTTGAGACAAGATCTTGTTATATAGTTCAGGTTGGCCTTGAACTCGCAGTAATCCTCCTGCCTCAGCTTCCCAAGAGCTGGGATTGCAGCTGTGTGCAATCATTCCGAGCAAAAATGCCTTATTTTGGGAATTAGTCTTGTTGAGCATCTCTTAAACATCAATAATTTTCATAGCATCTCCAATTCTTTGTGTATCTATGTAGCACCTGAATTTACTTGATGTTTTTCTTTAAATTGACCTTATTCTTACTTAAACATACTTTAAAACAAAACCTCTTATTATTACAGTAAATGTAAACCAAAATCTGGTTGGATAAATAGTCTGACAACAAATGAAACAAACAGTAGTATGTATGCAACAAATAAAAAAACTTACACTAAGTACAAATAATATGTGTCTTTGTTCAAATAGGAGAGACCAGCAAGTGTTAGCATAGTGATAATCACCTATTAATATCAAGAAGGAACTTTATTCTCAATGTCAGTGGGAGACTCACAGCAGAATGGGAAAAGGTGGCTTTGTACTGTGTAACCAATTAAATGGGTTTTTTAGAACTGTGTCCAAGACCGGCCTCCAGCCATTTTGAACCGGATGCACATTTACAAACTGGCCCACTGCTGCAGCTGTCCTGGGAGCAATTGCTGAAATACACAGCGAATGTAAAGATCCTGAGTGGAGAATGAGCAGCCAGCTTCCGGTCCCTATTAGCTTTGGGCACCCGCGAGAGGAGATCTATTCAGAACACGAGTCTGGACTGCCGTGACAACACAGCTGGGTTAAAGTTCAGGGTTTCCACATGTGACCTGGTTCTACTAGTCATCCCTCTCCCTGAAACTGAGTTCACATACCCGAGGGCTGGCTATTGGGCAGTTTACCAATCAGCGATGGTAAACTGGTAAGGAACGGACATTAGCAGCGCATGGGTAGCAAAAAATCACAGCTCAGGCAGAGTGAGAGTTCACTGCTGTCTCTGGGGCGGGGGTTCCAGCCACATGGGTCCTCTTTGTACCCCCAGGAAGGAAGACCTTTACTTATTGGGAGCCAGAGAACCTGGAAGGAGCCTGTATTGGTGACATCCACAACTAGGGTTCAGATGTTCATAGACTTGCAGTGGATCATTTAGTGGGCAACTTTTAACACCCAGCTGAAATGAATCAGTGTGGTCTTGGTGTGGAGGACCCACCTGAGGATTGTTGCCAATGGCCATAAAAAGAGAGCTGGAGGGAAGCTCTTGGCCTGTTGATTTTCTAGGAGAAGCTTACTGTGGACGGTTTTCCACTTGTGAACTTGGTTGTTCTTGTCAGAGGAGCAGCTGGGCTCTCACTGTGGCTGGAACGGCTCCTGTTCTCATCCGGGGGGCTCCGATCTGCACCGTGAGCGTCACTTCCTGGCTCCAGTGTGGATCCCTCCGCCTGGCGGCCCAGAGCCTTCATCTCACCAGCGTGGGTTTTCCGGCTTCCACCCCTGGCCTTGGGCCTTCCAGGTGCAGATCCTCAGTACGGACAAGCACGAGACATTGCCGTGGGCTCTGGGCCCCTGGCTGGACTCGGGGAGGACGCTGCCTTGGGCTCTGGGCCTTCAGCTGGACTTGCGTGGGACACTGCTGGGATCCAGGTCCTCAGCTGGATTTCTTGGGCCCCTACTGTACGGTTAACCTCTTGCAGTCCTTTGCATTTGACTTTTTGGGTAATTATCACAAAATCATCCTATAAATTATGTGTCCTGTATTTAATGTAGTCCTTTGCCAAAACCCTGACTACAAGACTCTTCTAGAGGTCACGGTGTACGAAGCTGAGCAGAAAGAAAGATTTCAAGACATCTGAAGCTAAGAAAGAGAGTTCACCCGTACAAGAGGAACCCTGGGTGAATCAGCCACATCCGGGGCTCTGCTCAGTGCTGCTCAGCTGTGCTTGAGTTGGCTGTGTGCTGACAGGAGAAGCGGGTCTGTGGATGCTGAGGGTGAGCTTGTTAAATGGTGTGCTGGCACCGTGCAGCTGCAGTGGGGTCTCCTCCCAGAGCTGAGGGGCAAGTAGGATGGAACTTTCTCCCTGCCACCCGGCAAGTGGCAGTTGAACAGTGACTGGCCTGAGGCCCATCGGTGGTGACAGGTGGGGTGGTTGGCATGGACCTTCTTGGTGGCTCTGGTGGCAGTGGTGTGGTTGGCTGTGATCACTTGGTGTGGACACATGGCAGCCAGATGGGTGTATGACCCCTTGTCTTGGATTCCTGGACCTCTGTGGACAGGAGGAGTGGGACCACGGGTTTATTTATGTCCATCGGTCCATGAGAATAGTGGATGTTTATTTTGTGTGTGAAGCACCTCACACAGTGCTTGCCCAGAGACAGAGTTCAAGTAATGGCAGCCACTTTTATGAATACTGGGACAAAGTGGAGTCAGGTAGGTTTACTAGACCTACTGAAGACCCTGCCCTCTGCCTCCATCTGTCCCTCTGCTGGGGAAGCATCCAAAGCCTTGTGCACACTAGAGAAGTGCTCCACCACTGAGCTGAATGCCCAGCCCAAGACTTTTCTAGATTAATCCTATGTTGCTTTTGGAATGTCTACAAATCTGCTCAGGTCACGCTTAGGTTTGCTGCCCAGCCTCTTCAGAATAGACAGTTTTAACACTGATTCAGGTTGCATTCTGTTACCAAGTTGGAATGCAGTGGAGGATGATGTGGGTTTCAACTAAAATCTCAGCAACTCACTCTCAACAGGACGGTGGCACACTGGCCTCAAATTCTAGGTCACACTAACCTTAGCCCATTGTGCCTATAATTTGAGATCTTTTCTGTTCACATTTTGGCCTGAGTTAATGAGTCCACCCAGCTTGTAAACTCTCTAGGTCATTGTCTAAATTGCTGATAAAAACTGAATAGATGGGACCAA